ACTATATAAGTATATTTTTGTATATGTAAAATCTATTCTAATAAAGATATAGAAACAAAAATATGAAACTGTATAATTAGATGTTAATAGAAACAGATACACTGTATAAAATGATTCATTAAATTTTCATTATTATTAAAGTTATTTCTAGTAGTGCAATGAAGATTCACGCTACTACCAAGCTAGGTTGGCCGAGCGGTCTAAGGCGCCAGACTTAAGTTCTGGTTCCCGTCTGGGAGCGTGGGTTCGAACCCCACACCTGGCAAAATTTTTTTTCACAAGTAATTTGTGAATAAATAACATTAAAGTTATATATGTTGTCGCAAAATTTTTCTAAAAGCACTTTGTTATTAAGTTTTTGAAATTAATCACATTATTATATTTTTTGAGTTTGTTTTACGCGTCATGTGGTAGAATACAAAATATTTTAATGAATAGAAGTTGTTATATTTTATTAATCACTATACGGTTAATAAATATAGATTAGAACAGAAAACAATATATAATATATAGTAAAATATAATCAATAATAAGATAAAAAATATTCTTCACAGTAGTATATTGATTTTTTAAACTTACAGTAGTTTTTGTTTTAATGCTGTACTTAACGTCACGTGCTTTTATTTCACATAAAACTATTATTTTTTAATCTTTTCTTTCAATGTAACATTATATTATGATATATTTTGATACAAATAAAAATAATTAATTACACAATAAACTGCTGTTGTAGAAGTAACATAAAGTTCCATCTATGTGTTATAATAGAGAGTAGAGAGAGAATACGAGATCTCTCGAATACCTGTATTAGATGCTATGTATCGGTAATGAAGATACCTACCCAGACATCTTATTGTATATACTGTAGATAAATGTGAATAATTTTTATCTTGGTTGACAGTATGTAACTCTCATGTTAGATGTCAGTTGCTCCTACTTCCAATTACGTAAACTTGCATTCTTAAATAATTAATGAACAGAGAGACGCGTTTGGGCCTTCATTTGTTAAACATATATTTATTTTTTTTTTTTACATAATATCTATTGACACGTAATAAGACTGTCATTCTTTAGAACAAGAATCTGAAGATTTTTTAACATTTTTTTTATCTGCGCGTATTGTTAGAGAATTTTTTGCATTACACTTTACATCTTGTTAGAGACTCTATGCATTAATATGCATATCGATAACGAACAAACTCATCCGTCTTGATATAACATCTGAGTACAAGAGATCAATCTGAAGATCAGATTGTTTTTGAAAGATCATTAAACGAAATAATAATGACACGATCGTAAACCCGTCCGGCTGACGTTTCCGTGTCTTTTTCCTCGTGAGGCGGCCTCACGTGTCAAGGCGACACGAGACGAGGTGAG